CGGAGCCGCTGGTGTGGACCCAACCCAGTGCCCTGGCCGGAGCGGGGCCAAGCCCCTGGTGCAGCTCCGACCCAGCGCCTTAGCCGGAGTGCCTAAGCGGGGCGGAGTCGCTGGTGCATGGGCCAGCTTAAAACTGCTCATGGGGTGGATGCGGCCTGCGGGCCGTAGTTTGCCCACCCCGTTCTATATTCTTTCTACCAAATCTGAGTCTAGAACCAATTCTTAATTTTCTCATTTAATGAAAACACTGTCCAATTGCTGTGTAATGACACTCAACAAAAAGAAAACAAATAGCTTGCACATACACCATATACAAATGTATTTACTTTACTGGAGGATTTGCCATACCGGAACCATCAACTCAACTCTTCTGCATCTTGGCCTCATGATTCAAAGGAAAGCAAAAAATAAAATCCATAATATTTGAGTAGTGGTGCAGTTATGGGCGTGATTTGGGGAATCTTCTTGATCCCTGTAGATATCAGTTGAGGTCCTTGAGTAAGAGAATGTCTGTTGTGTTGGATGGTTCAATTAAACAACCTCTTAAATAGTCTTTCACAGGTTAAAAGAATGCTTTAGATTCAAAAAAAGCTTTTAGAAGCATTTCAAGTCTTTAAAATTAATGCTCTTGTGGCTAAAGCACAGTCCTGGGAGTCAAGTTCCCTGCTTTCTAGTCCCAGTTCCACTGCTGAGGTAGTGTATGACCTTGGTAGGGCAAGTCATTTGACCTTTATGTTCTTGTTTCCTGATCTGTGAAATAGGAAAACCAGAGACATTGTTGAGACTAAATTCATTAATGTTTTGTAAAGCGTTTTGAGATCCTCTGATGCAAGTTTCCATAAAGTGCCAGATATTCTAATTATGAAAACTTTCAGTGGCAGAGGGTTTGCTAAGTATAGATAAAATTATTCAGAAAAAGTAGGTTTTACACTCTGGGTAATATTTGTTTTTTACCTAGGGAGCAAAGCTTGAAAAGAGAAGCCCCAAAATTTGATGACTCTTAATTTTTTTATAACATACTCTCTCCTTATTTGAGTGTATATAAAGCTTAGGGTTTTACTATAGTGCCATCCTTGAATATCACTTTAAACCCCATTCAGTACAAGAAGACTTTTAAAATTCACACATACCTTTCTTTTTGGAGTAGATTAACATATTTATTAAATCTTATTTTACCAGGATGTGCACATTGCAAAGCTTAATCTTACTTACATTGCAGTAGTGGTGGCAGTCCTTCATTCTGAGAAATGTATTGCAAATTGGTTACATACATAAAAGCAAATAAAATTGGTTTAGAAATAATTTTTTTTATGTTGGAGAGAAATTTGCTTTAGGTGTATGAATACTGGTGGAGCAGGGAGTTTGGCACACACTTGATATGAAAGACAACAAAGGATAAGGATAGCTTTTTAAATATTGGCTCACACAGTTCCTCTAAAAAAGCATAATGTTTATTTCCTTCTTCCCATTGTTGTCTCTAGGTTCCTAAAATAATGGACTTGTATTTCATTTAATCTTAAATCAGATCAGCTGTATGCTTTCTGCTAATCAGCTTGGTATTTAAAGTGAGGGCTGTGTTAAGAAATCAAATGTGCATAAAACATGCTCTTAAACAAGAAAATCAATGGATGGCATAAAATCACTGCAAACCAGGGGATCTGTTTTTCAGTATGAGGCATTAATTGTTAGTCTGACAAATGCTTACTTGAACATTTTGATTTAATGTAGGATAGTACTGGTATGAAGCTGTGGAAGAAACGATGGTTTGTGCTTTCTGATCTGTGCCTCTTCTATTACAGAGGTAAGTTTTCTTTAGAAAGGTTTGTTTTTGTTTTACTTTGGAAACAGGAAAATCTTACTGTCTTTTTTTAAAAAAAGAAAAGTTTTTAAGAATTGTTGACATAAACTGTTCTTCCCCCACCCTTCTGTCCCCTGCCCACTACAATTGAGCCTTTAAAATAAAGCTAATCCTGTCTTCTAATTGGTGAAAGGGTGCAAAGAGCTGTTGGTTAACTTGACATGTAAAATCAGCACACTAGTAGAACTAGCTGCACCTCCCAGGTCAGAACCAACTGCTGAGATTGTGTGTTTGTCTGGCTATGCCAGAAGGAGGACAGGAGGCACTGGATGTGGTTTAATTAGGCTGTAGCTTTATTGTTAAATATCTGGGAGTATGTGGCAGATAGACTAGTACAGGGCAAGTAATTCCATAACCCTTGCCATATACTCGGGGACTGTCCCCTTACCCATGCTGGTCCCAGCCAATCCACTGTTGGGACCCAGCCACCCCCCCTCATATGAGGGTTGTGCAGGGGAAGGCTATAACGAAGGGGGTTGACCCCACCACCACCCACCCACCATACCAGTTGTAGGAACCCCAGATCCCCTTTCTCTGCTCTTTTTAAAATTCTTTACCAATCCATTTTATGAGATCAACATATCCATTCTCTGTGGAGTACCTGCACTGGACATCCACCACAAGGTTGCCTGGTCCAGATAAAAGGGGGCTTTTCTGGCACAGCTCTCAGTATAAATACCCCCCCCCCCCAACTGGGGCGGGGGGGGGAGTGAGGGCAAGTCACCATGCTGACTTCGTCTGCCTTTCCTTGCTTCCTATATGGAGTAGGAAAACCTTTGGGGGAGGGGGTCTTAAAGGGGCGATGACCACTTTCCTACCAGCCCAGCCACACTTGCAATTAAAAGGGTAATTCCTCTTCTCTGTTAAAACAAAGGGCCCCACCCTTTAATATGTACTGGGGGCATTCTTCCTTTCTTATTTGTTTGTCTCAAAGCCTTCTTTGCCAGGCAGAGCAAAATATTGTGTAAATAATTGACGCCTCTAATATTTCATCACCTTGCTGGCAGTTTTTTTAAAATTTATTATGTTAGTGAGTAGATATGCCAAGGTAAATTTGACATCAGCTGCAAAAATGATAAACTGATTATGGGGAAGTTGACTCCTAGAGACAGACAGGGAGGGCAAAAACAGTGATGTTTGTGATGATGGAGAGGGGCGGGGAAAAAGACATTTCTCCGATCTACCCAGCTCTCTTGGATACTCATCAGGTGTCTGAAATGATAGAAATGTCATATGTGGTGTTCCCAATCTCCACTTTTGATGCTGTTGCTGAAACTGGGAGCAGTGGGTGATGAAACAAAAATACCATGACATATAATTCATGATCTCTCATGAGAGAGGAGGTGCAAGCCATAATTTAGATATTCAAAGCTAATCAGTAGTTTTGGACTTTGGCAGAGGTGTATGGCATTTTGAGTTTATTTGGAAGAATCATAGAATCATAGAATATCAGGGTTGGAAGGGACCTCAGGAGGTCATCTAGTCCAACCTCCTGCTCAAAGCAGGACCAATCCCCAACTAAATCATCCCAGCCGGGGCTTTGTCAAGTCTGACATTAAAAACCTCTAAGGAAGGAGATTCCACCACCTCCCTAGGTAACCAATTGCAGTGCATCACCACCCTCCTAGTGAAAAAGTTTTTCCTAATATCCAACCTAAACCTCCCCCACTGCAACCTGAGACCATTACTCCTTGTTCTGTCATGAGCTACCACTGAGAACAGTCTAGATCCATCCTCTTTGGAACCCCCTTTCAGGTAGTTGAAAGCAGCTGTCAAATCTCCCACTCTTTCTTCTTTTCTGCAGACTAAATAATCCCAGTTCCCTCAGCCTCTCCTCATAAATCATGTGCTCCAGCCCCCTAATCATTTTTGTTGCCCTCCACTGGACTCTTTCCAATTTTTCCACATCCTCTTGTAGTGTGGGGCCCAAAACTGGACACAGTACCCAGATGAGGCCTCACCAATGCCAAATAGAGGGGAATGATCATGTCCCTCGATCTGCTGGCAGTGCTCCTACTTATACAGCCCAAAATGCCGTTAGCCTAGTAAACAGTGAAAATGATTGTACTTGTTTGAAAAATGTGCAGCACATTTCTATGCTAATCAAGGTAAACTAAGTCTCAAAGCAGAAAAGCTTTCCTTGTAATTCTGGTTAGTTCAAATTCTGAATTATTGGAATGCAGTCATCATGCTTGCAGTCAGCACTTGAGATTACATGTTGTTGGATAAACCACTGCTGAGTCAAAATTAGTCTACTCAGTAGGACTGTAATTTAGACATGGAGACATTGGTTGAGCTTCAGTTATTTTATTTAGTTAAATGGCCAATGCATATTTTGTGTTTTTCCTGGTAATGTTTGCCTACTTTTCGGAAGTCCTTTAAGGGTATGTCTGCACTGCCCTTGGAAGTTTCATTTGTTTAATATTCTAGGTTGGTTGAATCTCTGATTTGTTTTTCTCCCTAATGCAACGGAGAGCTTGTTTTGTTTTGGAAACCTAAAAGTCTAAGGGTATGTCTACCCAGCCTGCAGCAGCAAGCCTCCCAGCCCAGATCAATGGACTTTGGCTAGCTGGGCTCACACTAGCACTCTTAAGAATAGCTGTGTAGATGGTACTTTAAAGTCATAGTTTGAGCTCTCAAGCATATGTAGCTGTCCATTCAGCTATTAAACATAAATAAAACTATGTGTTCAGAGGTCTGTGTCCAATTTCCCATTTGTTCTATGCTTGATTAAGGTGTTAATCGTAGGCTAGATAAGAGACACGGAAATAAAAGCAGTTGTCTAATCTGTATAAAGTAAGAAGCTGAAGTTTCAGACAGCTATTTTAGCTATCGTTTCATTACTGAGACATATTTAAATCAAAAAGTGTTTCAACAATGGTTTACAGTTACTAGAAATGGTTATTAAAACAAAACAAGCAGACAAATTCTAAACCCTATCCTTTTGAAGTTGTTTATGCTAGGTTAATGCTATCTCGTTCAGGGATTTAGAGGAAAAGGGGAAAATGTGCACTTGCTCTTCAATTGCAAACAATATTTCTGGTTGTCTATCTGACTGTAACACCAGTTTTAAAAGTTTGATAAGGTTTAGTCCAAAATTTTACCATGTTAAAATCCAATGCGAAGTCTTGATTTAAGGGTAGAAAGAAAACTGATTTCATTGTAATTTTTAAATGCTTAGAGTATTATGTTTATCTGTTTTCACTGGGGAATAAGACTGACTGCTTTCACATAGAAAAGATATTGCTTGCAACAACAAAAAATCTTATAGAACAGCATAAGAAGATTCTCTCCGATTTGAATGAAGCTGGATGTAGTGGGCAGAGTAACCTAGATAACAGCTCAGATGATGGGAAACAGATTTTTAAAAATTTGGAAACTATAAGCATAGTGTGTTTTCAGAACACACTAGTTTATTTGGAGGAGAAAATGCCATGTTGCCTTTTCAAGATTTTTTTTCATATTCTGGACTAGAGAAGAAAAAATGATACACAGCATCTTGTAGTCTACATAGCACTTTGGAGAACGCGGGATCAAGCCTTCCAGCCCGGGTTGACAGACTTGGGGTAGCGAGACTTGTGCTAGTGTTCTAAAAATAGCTGTGTAGACAGCTCTTTGAAGTTGCAGCTCAGACTGCAGCTCGGACTCTGTAGCTTCACCACCTCTGTAGGTTTCAGAGCCAAGCTCCAGGCCAAGCCACAACTTCAAAGAACTGTCTACACAGCTGTTTTTAGAGCGCTAATGCCAGCCCCACTAGCCGAAGTCTGTTCCCTCCCCGCCCCCGACTGGGAGGCTAGCTCCAAGACACTGTGTATGTCTACACTGCAGTTCAAGCCTGGGCTTGAGCCTGAGCTCAAGCCTAACCCCCTTCGCATCCACACACCAGTTGGGCTAACCTAGGCTTCTAAAACCTGCAGGGCTGAAGGGTCTGAGCCTTACTGCTTTTCTGCTTGACTCAGGTCCCAGAAGTCCTCCAGATGTTTCCCAGAGTTCCTAGCAGCAGAGGAGTAGCGCTTCAGGCAGCAAGCGTGGCAGCCAGAAGTGCCATTACTGTCTGGCTGAGCCTGCTCCCACTTCCTGCTCTGTTTACTCCTTGCTGCTACGCAGAGTTTACCCAGAGCAGGGAGCAAAGCTGACGTGCGTGAAGCAGCTCCTGGCTGCCAGGATGTTGCAGGTCACATCCCTGCCCGGGCCATGCTGAGTCCGGAGCTTTGTCACGCTGTGTCCCTGCAGGAAAACTGCTTAATACTTGCTCTGCTGTATGGCCCTTGCTCCCGGACCTCCCCTGCCCTCTCTGGGGCACCCAGACATGATACACTGTCAGGGCAGTGAGTGGGAGCCAGCCCCCAAACCACCTATAGCCTTCCATGACTCCAGCTTCATCTTCTCCTTGCTATGGGGCAGCTAGGGGCTGGCTCCCATGACATATAGCTAAAATGTCAGATTTGCACTACTCGGTGCTTTTGTAGTATAAATCTAAAATTCTGTAGAAACTTTAAATAGTTCAGGATATGGCAAAATGTATGATTTGTAGTGTCTATATTGTAGGTCTTCAAATCAGTTAAAATGCTAGAGAAGGAGTGTAAATATATTAAGGAGCATAAACTGTTGTCATATGGGATTTAAAACATTCAATCTTGTAATTCAATATGCCCGACTTCAGTCAGTAATTGGAAAGGATGTGCAAATTGGCTCAGAGGCCAACATTTTTAAAAACTATTTTGAAATCTTTCTGCTCTCTCATGTATTAGCAAGTTGTAATGAATAAACAGTGGGATGCAAGTGGTTCTTTTGTCACTGTCTTTTGCCTTACACTTTCTCAAAGATGAGGAGCATAAGGTAGTATATTTTATTGGACCAACTTCTTCTGGTGAAAGCGACAAGCTTTTGAACTACACAGAGCTCATCTTCAGGTGTACTACTTCCACACCTTTTCCAGTCATTTACATGTGTGCAAAGTGGTGCAAAAGACAATTATTCTGATTGGGAAGCATTTTACACTTATTGTGCACTTTAGGCCTTGATCTGCAAAAGATCTATGCACATGAGTAAGTCTCATTGGCATCACTGAGATTACTCATAGGCGGCATGTATAAGAGGCTTGGGGAGATTTAGCCTCCCCCATAATGGCTGGCCATGCAAGGGGCAAGACATGCTGGCTGCGGCGCAGATCACCTCCCTTTGGAGGCACGCTGGCCAAGTACCTTTGGAGCACCACCATCAGAAGCTCCCTAGAAATGGGGAATCCACTGGCACCTGGATTAACCCCGCCCTCGCTCTGCCTCTTCTCCCTGAGGCGCCCTGCCCTCGCTTGCCCTTAAGACATGAAAAAAGTGGGCAGATATAGCCCTCCCACTTTTAAAAGTGACAAGCACACACTCCTTCCAGCGTCCCTTAGCTGAGTTGCTCTGGCATGAGCATGCATAACCTCTCACTGGCTGGCCCAGCTATAGGACGATGACTCCTGCTGTGCATGCTGGTTTGTTTACCTGCCATGTCGGCAGGTTCGGCCGATCGCGGCTCCCACTGGCCGCGGTTCGCTGCTCCAGGCCAAATGGGGGCTGCGGGAAGCGGCGCGGGACAAGGGATGTGCTGGCCCCCATTGGCCTGGAGCGGTGAACTGCAGCCAGTGGGAGCCACGATCGGCTGAACTGTCGACGCGGCAGGTAAACAAACCGGCCTGGCCCGCCAGAGTGCTTACCCTGGCGAGCCACATGCCAAAGGTTGCTGATCCCTGGTACAGTGAAATACTCTCATTATATTAAAATCTTTATCCCCAAAGTAGTAATATGAAGAAGTTAACCTTGCCTATTGTGAAAAGATTTATATTTGTACATTAATGGCATAGCTCTTCTATTATAGTTTTCTTTGTAGGCTGCGTGCTCAGTTTGGAAAAATGCTATCATTGTGCTTCATAGCTGTCATTAGAGGCAGGTATCCAGTACACTTTATGAACAAATTGTGTCATCTGTGGAAGCGTATCTTAAGGTATATTAAGGCTAGACATGCACTGTCTGTGAAATACAACATTCACCCAGTAATTTGTGAGTTGCAGATTCTTTGGCTTTCGTGTTTCTCCAGTAGTCACAATGTGTCTCTACTGGGGGGGCGTTATTAGTGACTCCTTAGTTAAGCTTATGTTGAGAGATTCAGTTAAAGCAGGATTAAAAATCCTATTTTCCACTTCAGTGAATGAATTTAGTATCTGATGCAAGTCTTTAGAGGACAATTGAATTTTCCATAATATTTGATTAGTAAAATATTTATGGTTTTCACAGGAAACATTTTAAAATGAACCTCCTGTGGCTATCCAGACAGGAGCCTTAGTCTGACTATCTAACTTTAGCAAGGCTGCTGGGGCACTCACTCCTGTGGCATTATATCCCAGAGAGGCTGAGTGAGGACATGAATGTGGGGCACAATGAGGAGGTGGAAGAATTGTCAGTGGGACTGTCTGCCAACCCCTTAGTATCACCCACTCCCAGACCCCTACCTAACCCAGTTCCCAGGCTGGCCCCAATGCCCGATGAACTGTTTGGTTCCAAGGCCACATTCTCTCTCTTTCTCTCCCCTCAGTAACTTCTTACCACTGTCCTGTGCCATGAAAAGCTTGTGTTAAACAATCAATCTAGTATCAAAGTAAAATACTCCTGGTGTTCTCTCTGGAGGCTGGCCATCTACTGAAATCCATCCTCAAACACTGAATACAGTCAAATTCTCAGATTTTCAATAAATGAAAAACATATCCAGGGGAAAGGGAGTGTAAATGTATGTACTCTGTGCATAAAAGTATTGTTCTAATCAAATATTATATTTTAGATGAAAAAGAAGAGGGAATATTGGGGAGCATACTTCTACCTAGTTTTCAGATATCGATGCTTTCTTCTGAGGATCATATTAATCGCAAATATGCTTTTAAGGTGAGGGCATTCATTTTCAGTTTAAACAAATATAGAGTGCAGAACACTTTTCACTGTGTCTTTATGCAAGATAGGATAAACAAACTGCCTCTGAGATTGATTATGCATAATACTATATGCAGATGATCCAAACAATTTAGTCTAATATGCAAATGAATTTGTTGTAGATATAGACTGATAATTGCTAAACTTGATGAAGGAGCTAACCAGACGTATTTCATCATTTTGCAGCTCCTTTATTTTTAATTCACATCTCTTAATAAGCACACCTTGGTGGCTTGGAATTGCAGTCTCCATACGGGGCTAGTCTATATCTACATGGCCCTGCAGTTTCAACTACAGGAGTGTGAATCACAGCATGCACTAGCGTGCTGCACTGTAATTCCCCTGTGTGGACAGTGTGGGCATGAACTAAAAGGTCCCTTGTTGGCGTTAACTTAGTCCTGATTAAAGAGGATTAAGTTAATGCCAACTAAGGCTATGTCTACACTAGAGACCTTACAGCAGCACAGCTGTACTGATGCAGCTGCACTACTGTAAGATCTCTCGAGTAGCTGCTCTGTGTTGACAGGAGAGAGCTTTCCCATTGACATAATTAAACCATCCCCAACAAGCGGCAGTAATTATGTCAGTGGGAGAAGCTCTCCCACCAACATAGCGCTGTGCATACTACCACTTAATGCCAGCGAAACTTATGTTGCTTAAGGGTGGGTTTTTTTCCCACCCCTGAGTGACATAAGTTTTGCTGACATAAGTGGTAGCGTAGACATGGCCTTAAATACCTTTTACTTCACATCCGCAGCATTCACATGGGGGAGTTGCATTTCAGCACACTAGTATGTGCTGCCTTTTTAACCCCCTTAGTCTGAAATGCGGGGCCGCATATATAAGCCCTAAGATGTATTTTCCTCTATTGTGCACATTATGTTTGTGAAACTGGGATTGCTAATTAGTGCACATCATGCTGTCTCTCTTTTTAATTTTGGGAAAAAACACATAAGGCATTTACTATGATGTGAATGGATAAAAGAAAAAAAATTGAGTTTAGCGCTTACATCTCAGTATTAGACAAACTATTTTGTGTTTAAATATTTATTTTAGTTGGCATATTCTTTAATCATGAGTAAAGTAATCACTTGCATATTCTCTCCTAACATGGAATTTCATTTCTTGGCTTTGAGTTCCTTTTTGGCTGTCCTTAATGACTGTTGAGCTGTACACCACTGAAAGTTACAATGGTGAGTACAAATTAAAACTTACTGAATTGTTCAGGCTGCAGAAAATGTGTAATTTAATATTTATATTAAGTTAATGTTTTATGAACATCGGTATAGGATTTTTGATGGCAGAAAAATATAAATCATTTCAGCAGGGTACATTCACAGAGAAGCAACAATTAAACTTTCAAGCTAATTCTTTTATTAATCTAATTGCACTGAAAAAAAGCATAACAGTGAATGATATTGTGCAAAATGTTTTCTATAAATTATTTGTAGTGTTTTCATAAACCTAACAACAATGGAGTAAGAAAACAATAACATTATTTGCCTTTTTTTTTCTTTTACAGAAATCTTGTCTTTTTATTACAATGACCTTGTCATTTCCAATCAGGCAGCTCATCCAAACATGAGGACCTATTATTTCTGCACAGATACAGGGAAGGAAATGGAGCTATGGATGAAAGCCATGATAGATGCAGCACTTGTACAGACAGAACCCGTGAAAAGGTAATGCAGTTTGGCAAACCAGTAGAACAAGGAGTTAATTTCCAATCGTGGGTTTGAGTTTGTTTACTTAAAATGTAAGGTAATTCAGCTGTGCTTCAGCCCCACCAGTGATAGCAATGATGAGAGCACTTATGGGGTATGTCTTCACTGCAATTAGATACCCGTAGCTGGCCCATGCTAGCTGACTCAGGCTCAGGGGCTATTTAGTTGTGGTGTAGACATTTGGACTTGCACTGCAGCCCAAGCTCTGGGACCCTGCCACCTCACAGGATCCTAGATCCCAGGCTTCACCACGAGCCTGAACATCTACACCACAATTAAACAGCCCCTTAGCCTGGTCCCTGCTAGCCTGAGTCAGTTGGAATGTGTCAGCCACAGGTTTTTAATTGCAGTGTAGACATACCCATGTTTGTTGAGAATTTAAAGCCTCTAACCTTCCTCAGAATGACATGGTAGTTAAAATACTAATGGCAGCTAGCAGCTTTTTCACATTTGTGCGCCCATTGTTGCTACTATGATTTGATCTGAACCACTGGTAGTAATGGTGGTACATTTCAAAAGGAAAGTAAATTCCTATGAACGTGGACACAATGAAGAAAAAAGGGCAAAAAGGTATGAAATCAAGCCCACCTCACAATTTGTAAAGCTCAAGAAAAACATTTGCACACTACACACTGTATGTGATAAACTCATTCCTGCTTCACGATTCTAGTGTCCTTGCTTCAGACAGTATGCTGATTAAAAATAGAAAGTTCATAAGGAATGCTCGGACCAGTGCTGCTTTAGGCTCAATGCTAACAGTGTTTTGTAGCTATATGCATCTAACCTGTAGTATTTTGAGAGTTTCTCCATTACAAGTGTTCTCACTGACCCTTTTACTTCTGCCTAGTGTTCAGAGACTTAGGGTACATCTACA